TCTCTCTCTCTCTCTCTCTCTCTCTCTCTCTCTCTCTCTCGCTCGCTCTCGCTCTCCCTCTCTCCCTCGTGTGGTCGATCGTTGATGGTCGATGTGGTGGAACGTTTCGGGGTTGCCTGGGGGTTGTAAACGGAGTGGAGCCGCCGTTCACGTGGTGGACGGTGACAACCTCCTGCAACCTCGTTTTCCCTCTTTCTCCGTACCCTGGATCGTTCGGCACCTCGGCGGGCGAGCCACTCGCTACGATCTCCTGGTTCTGGGACTCCATAACGGCGCGCGGCGCACGATTATTTGCCGTCGTCGTCGCGAGGCTCTCGCGTGTCCGGGGTGGAAGCGACCGCGTTCGCTGAGTCTGCTCGCGTATCCGTCCGGGGTGGCGGTAGTGCTGATGGTAGTGGTGGTAGTGGTGGTGGTGGTGGTTGTTGTTGTTGTTATTGTTGATGCTGCTGCTGTCGCTGTCGGTGTCGTCGTCGGTGGTTGCGGCGGTGATCTCGTCGCCGACGGCAGCGGCGAGCGTCGTCGTAGCGATGCTCGTGACGTGCGAGGGGGGTGGTTTCACGACGCGCGCGAGACTTCCCCCGGAACTGATTCGTCGCCGGTGCTCCGATTTGCGTTTTCGGAGCTTCCTCGTGCAGCTACTTTCCCTCCGTCTTCCTCTCTCTTTCTCTCTTTCCCCCTCTTTCTCTTTTTCACTCGCTCTCGCCCTCTCTCGCCCTTTCTACACCTCAGTCACTCCACAATCACGGAGGGTGGCGCGTACGGTGACGATCGCGCGGCACTACGACAGGAGCGCGATTATCGACGGCGAAGAAGGCGTGCGAACGGGTTTAAAGGTCAGGACACCCGCGCTTTGTCGCGCTGAATCACCACGATGACAATAACGACAACGGCAGCGGCGTGGATAACGACGACTACGATGAGGAGGACGAGTACGAGGACTATGACGACGGCGGCTAATAGAGCACACGAGGAAAAAGGGCTGTCGACCTCTCGCTCGCTCTCTCCGGCTCCGATGTTGCTCTTGCCTTGTCTCACTTCGCAGATTACTTTCTCCTCTTTCTCTCTCTCTCTCTCTCTCTCTCTCTCTCTCTATCTATCTATCTCTCTCGCTCTCTTCCTCTCTCCGCACTCTCCTCACACTACCGACTACTAAAAACTAAGGAGAAGGTGAGAGGTTACGTGGCTGCGCGGTACGGCGACTACTGATGACGGGCGGCGGCCGGTACTCGGACGTGCGACGCGCTCTGCGAGAGGTTCGACGCGACACTGCGCTCTTGGAGCGGGGCGGGGGGAAGGGGCGCCGCGGGGAAAGGGGCATGTGGCGGCGGCGGCAGCAGCATCGGCGGCGGCAGCAGCGGCGGCGGCGGCGGCAACGGCGGCGGCGGCGGCGGCGGCGGCGGC